AATAATATTTCCTGGGCCCCAGGGAGGCGGGTCGCTTTCATCAGTTTTGCTTTGCCATTTTTCTGTTAGCATTCAACACCATTCAGCCACCTGTAGAACCTCATGGCCCGTAACATTGGCAGGTATATAATGATTTTATATAACAGCCCAGATTTAAGAAATGGCTGTCGCTAATCAAACGCGCTTGGCTCTCTGTTCTGGAAGCAGCAGAAGTGGCGCGTACCTGAGGATGGCTGGAAAGCAAGGCTCTGGCTTCTGCAGGCATTTCACTCTCTATAGAAAGTAATTCACATTCTCGAAATATCAGTGAAGTTTTCACTTCTGCTTGTGGAAATGCTCTGAAACCCAAATATGCAGAGAACACAGGGCTCAAAAGATTGCTTAAGAAGTTGACATCAAAACATATTTTCTTAAAAGTTGGACTGAGGTTTACCTGCCCCTGGTCAGCTCCTGCAGTCAGTGAAGTTGTGGACACCGGCATCTCACCGGCTTGGCAAGCGGGGCCCGGCCCCCAGGTATTGGAGCTGGGTTCTGATCTGCTTGGAGGAGACTTACTTTCCAGCTGAGACCAAGCTGGTCATTTTTCAGCCTTCCTGATGGCCCCTGTGTTTCCTCCTTTTTGCTCTTCCCACCTTACCTTCGCCAGAGTCACACCTGAGGGCTTGGAGGGGATGAGATTCCTGTCCGCAGGTCTGCATTGTTACCGGGGCAGGTAACTGTCAGGCACTTCTGACGTAAAGCCCACGCTACGGTGTGTTTTGTGTGACCCTGCGTGTGACTGACAAATCTGTGGCCCAGACAGTGACCCTGACTTCAAGATCATGAGTGTGTGTCCTCTACAGACCCATGAGAAAGGAGGCCTTATCTGCTCCTTTTATCAGGCCAAGGTCATTGGCTGAATTAGCACCTCTGGCTGGAAGCTGTGGTGGGCGCTGCTCCACAGTATTTACGGAGCACCCCGTTGGCAGTGCTGCTGTGGCCCTGGAGGTAGTCACGCAGGCTCGCTGATTACATCCTGGGTGGGATAGACATTCAAAGCAGAAAAAACACGCACATCAATGATGAGAAAAACTGTGAGTGGAGTGCAGGAATTAAAATAGAGAGATGTGGGCCGGCCGAGCAGTTCAGTTGGTTAAGAGCTCGCTCAAGAGTGTGAGCTCTGAGCAACAGTGGTTTGAGTCCAGCCCGAGCTGAGCAGCCGCTGAGCTGCCAACAGGTGACAGGATGGCTCAGCTGAAAAAAAAAAAAATAGATGTGCGAATGACAGGCGGCTCCCCTGGGCTGAGTGATCAGGGACTGGGGGGTAGCGGGGGGCGAGCAGGCTGAGCATCAACGCTCAGGGCAGCTGGTGGCTGGGGTGCAGAAACCAAGGCTGGAGCGGGGACAGCGGGGACAGGGTACAGAGAAAAGTAGAGATGAGTTTAGTCCAGAGCCCGTGGGAAACCGCTGTGGTGGCGTGTTATGGTCCTGCATTGTAAAAGATGGCTTGAGCTGATTTGGGACAAGCATGGGCCTCGGAGGTGGGTCCAGTGGCGCAGAGGGGACAGCTCTAAGGTGGGCGATGGGAGGAGTGGGGTGCACTTGGCAGGTGGAGCCGAAGGCCAGCTGAAGACAGGAGGGGCACAGGGGCATCCCCAATGACGTTCTGGTCTGAGTAGCCAGGTGAGAGGGGACGACTGAGAGGAGAGCTGGCTGGGGTGGGAGGTGGGGTTCGGAGCACCAGCATGTTTGGTTGTCAGCAGGTCTCACGTTTTTACATTTCGTCAAATACTACAATGAACCAGCCCCTNTGCCTGCGCCCCTCACAGCCCGACAGGTGGGCGCACGGAAAGGGATGCAGGAACTTACCCAGCGATGCAGTCGCCCTGTAGTGGCCAGCCACCCCTCTCTCCAGCTTTCTCTTTCCTGGTGGCATCCATCAGTGTTGTCTTAGATTGAGAGTTATTCCCCCTGAAAAGTGTTTATTTTAATTTTTTTTTTTAAATGTCTGGTTGAAACCCTGGTGCAGGCAGTGGACTGCCTCTTACATTTCATTTAGTAGACTGCTTCCCTCAGCCTTTTTCTTCTAAACTCTCTGGGTTTCTTTTTCGTGCCTCAGTGAAACGGTGTCCCCTCATACTCTGTGACTCAGGACTCCGATGGCAGGCTCACCAGAGGAGCCTGTGGGGGTCTTCTTTAGAGCAGCCACTTGTGCTTGGTGCTTATTACCCCTCTGTGTCCACTGGGCTGTCCACCACCCCTCCGCCCCCCACCCCAGCCCCTGCCTCCAGCCTGAACCCTGAGCCCTGAGATGTTCCTAGCTATCAATTTAGGACCCACAGATTAAAGATGAGGGTTGACCAGATTGTCATCTCGGCCTTGACCTGTCACACACCTCTCTGGGTCTCGTCTCCCAAGGGACCCTGCTGACCTCTGTGCTACACAGGGTCGGTCCCTGACTTCTGCAAACTTGTGCTGTGAGAGAAGAACGCTGCCTCCCTCCTTGGCCCCTGGGCTCCGGGACAGGAAGGGCGTTCCATACACCCTGGAGGCCGGCGCACCCATCCTTCTGGACCACAGCCCACATCCGGGTTAAGAGTGGGCTAGTTCCCGAGTCAGGGATGCTCTGCAAGTCCTGTCCAGGAAATGCAGTTGGTGATCTGGATGGCCTGAACAACTGGATTAATTGTCCTGGTAACATCACTGGATGTGCCAGTGTCATGTCTGACAACCAGTCAGACTGTGGACCTCCCTCTCTCCTGGTGAACAGTCCAGCACCACATTGCAGCAGAACCTGGATGGAAGATTTCCTCCTGCCTCCACCCTGCAAAGTAGCATCACACCAGAAGCTGAGTCACTTCAGTGAACCATGCCTTAAAAAATTAATTCAATGTTTTAAAGACCCTTAGTCATTTGTCCCGATTTGCGGCAGACTGATCCCCATACTGTCTTTACATGATCATTTGCCAAAATATGAAATGCTTTTTTCCCTTTTTTACACAGAATGGATGTCCCCTTCATCCATCTTTTCTGTCCTGCCATCTGGGGATGTCCCTTCCATGTCTTCCTCACCCTTGCTTATGTGGTTGTGACGAGCGTGGCTGATGGCTGTTCCAGAAGTATTGATCATAGTTTTTATACATACTCATATTATTTCCCTATAATTAGTCATAACTTGCTCTTGATCTTAGGGACTCTGACGGTTTTTATTTACAATTTCAATTCTATCTGCATTCTGACCTGACCCTGCATGGCTGGGGCCACACCGACCTGAGACCTTGAGAGGACAGAGCTAAAGCACCTTCCACCCGGGCCTGACCTCAGGCCACTGCTCTGCTGTCCCGCTTTGTGGATGCCCTCAAGACACACTTCTTATTCTGCACACTCCTGAAGAGAGGTTTCCAAAAGACATTCATTCAATTCAGCTGCCTTTTAAACAACATCTGTTACCAGTTTGCTCTCATCGAATGAAGAGACATCGCTTATTGGAACCTTTCTTGTTCCTGAATAATTTATTAACATTTGCATTCCCCTTTATGTTTAGTAAATTGCACTTCGTTGCCAGATGTAGCTTTCCTCAGGTTTTACATTTTCCTTCGTCGGAGATGCGGTCTTTAGCAGGTCACCCCTCACTAGCCTTCTTTTCCGTGTTTTAGCTGTTCCCACTGTTGTGGGGAAAAAAGGATTTCTGGTTTTTTAAATTAACTCTTGAACTTCCTTTCTGGAGTTTTAAAATCTGGCTTATATGTATGCTTACAGGTCAGGATAGGGGTTAACGTGGTGTGTTCTAGAGCCAGACTCCCTTGATTTAGAGATTTAGTAGAAACAAAATCTGAGCCATGTGAAACAGGACAAAATTTAAGTCTCATTAAGAATCCAAAAAATAACCAGCAAACCCTCACGGAATGGAAGTGTGATCCAGCTAAACGCGAATCTCACAGCACAGATGACCCAGCGGGTAGCGGG